TGTGACTTATCTCCTCAGGGGGCAGCAAGGGCTCCAGAGCCTTCAGGTAGCTTTGAAGGGTCTGGGCAAGAGGGGGCACCGGCTGGGGGGGCACAGAGGAGAAACAACAGAGCTCCTGCCTCAAATACACCTGGAAAGAAGAAAAGAAGTTTGAGGAATTTTGCAGGAATAAGTTTACTTATCGCTCTACAAACTCCCTTTAGGGCAAAATAAATTAAATATATTAAGTGTAATTAAATAGTGACTGGAACAGACAGCAAGTCTGCAAGTCAGCGCAGTGCAATGACATCCATGAAAGTTTGAACAAATGCCAAATAACACAGAGCACGACTTGGGCGTATCAAAATAGGAAGTGTGGAAATATGATAGTTCAAACAGGATCAGCTGCCTCTTCCTCGTCAAACAGCCATTTTGCTATAATAACTAACGAGGAGGTGAGGATATAGTGTGTAAACAATAAGACTTTCAAGTTTGACAGTGAAGTCTAAAAACAGAAAACTACTCACCCGAAACAGCCATGATCTGCACGATCCTGCGTGAATTTTCCTCGAAATCATTTTTCCTTTAATCAGAAATCCACACTGTCTTGCATTTGTAAAAACACAAACGCAGCTTTGCTCCTGTGTTCACATGAACTTTTGCACAATCTTCGCAGCGTCAGAGCGTCAAAATGAAGCCCTCCCTTCCTACTTCTGCATGCTGGAGGAAGAGGGGAGTCTTCCTCATGGCGGGATGGATTCTAGTTTGGAAATAAAGTCTGCAAGAAAACAAGAAACCACCTACGTGTTTTTGTACCGTCAAAGTACGAGCAAGCCTGCACACGTGTTGACGTAAAAATGTTTCCGTAAACAGCTACGTGACTCTCTGAACGTGATGTGCAGTACCGCATCTGTCCGCAGCGCGTCGCTGTCACATCTCGGCGCCGAGGCGATGATCTTAACAAACAAGTAATCAATATAAACCTTTTTTTTTTTTTTTTTTTTTTTTTTAGCAACACCAGATAGGCAATAAGATGCAATTCAAGATAAGTTATTGAATTAAACCATCACTAAGCTGTTAAGCAGCGATGGAGAAGAAAAACTGATTCTTTAAGCAGAAATAATATTCAGTTAAATTTACTCCTGGCCAATTCATTGTGAAGTCATAAAATAAAATGAATAAGGAACAAAAGAAAAGTCAAACTTACTGTGAACATGACAAACACTGTAGAGCAAGGGTGGGCAACTGGCGGCCTGGGGGCCACATGCGGCCCCCATCAACCCTCAGTGTGGCCTTCAGGTCAATTTTTACACATCAATGAATTGGAAACATGAAGAAAATGTGACAAAATCTGCCATCAAATCATGAAAACCAGAAATATGTCCATAATAATATTTGATCACTGGTATATGTTGAGTTAAATTTGAGACATAATTGATTTTTTTTTGGCCCTTTGGCAGGGAGAATTAATTGAATGTGGCCCTTGCCGTGACCAAAGTTGCCCATCCCTGCTGTAGCGGATGTATGGATTTAAATATTTTAATGCAGAATATAAACATATACCCGCTTTTACTACAGTTACATGTGGAAAATGTGTTCAAATGATTTCAGATTATCCAGCAAAAACACTATAATGGATGGTATATTGTCTTATTTTGAAGTGCATTAAAAAAATAAACTTAAATGTATTATTAACTGTTTTCTTTACTCATAAGATGCAACTTCACAGCATGCATTTCAGGTAGTGAGTTTCATTGACTTGCTCTGTGTTAGCAGTGAGATTTTAAATGATGAGAATCCTCGTTGTGATTAAAGGAAGACAAAGCAGAAAACCCAGAAGAGACAAACTGCTTTCAGAGATATTTATTTGATTTTTTTTTTTTTTTTAAACCATCATTGCAACAAAACAACAAAAAAAGTTTTGCATGGAATTTGCATTACTTTATCTTCAACCAATTAAACATTCATGTACAGATAAGCAACTCTCTTGTATGTTATTATACAGTTTATACAACCAACACGTCTGATAGTGGCTGTGATATATTGAAGTTTATTTGTCATTTCAACTTCCTCTTAGGGACTCTCACTCACACAACTCGCTCGTACTCGTCCACATAATGAAGAATAACATGAAAATACTTTTATTTACATCCACACATTCACTGAGCTGTTTCCAGAGTTGTTATTGTGAACAGTAAGGCTCAACAAAACAACACAGAACACACGACCATACATTCCACCGCCAAAATTCTGCAACGTTCAACACAACGCCTGCTGAGAGGAGGTTATTCTAAAAGGGCTTCAGTCCAAAAACAACAAAAAAGAAAAATCAGTTTTATTTATATAAATGTATCTTCATATCATCTGGGCTAATCCAGCAGGCACATGAACCACATGATATAAACATCACTCTTCAGTGCTCAGGCAGTGCTTACTTTAAATAAGAAAAGTATGTACATCAAATAAACTAACTAAAAAATACAATTTGATCATTAAATTGCATAGACAAGTGATCTTTCATTGACCTACAGAGCACACCTGAGGGTCTTTTGTTATATGTACCAGACGTATACATTCACATTTGTCCTTTTTCCCTGTAAATAAAACTAAAATGTTTTTTTTATTCAGCAAACAAAATGATTTTCTTATTTTCCTCTGCACAAACCAAACTGTTTCTGCACATTTCTACAACAACACTCATTCATTCTGATGCTAGTTGAGACAACAACAACAAAACACCACCAACGGATTACAAACACTCTCTTCAACTCAAATCAATTCAAATAATAAAAACAACGAGACATTGTTTAACAAAATGTCGGAGATCTCATGGAATGCGCAATTTTGGCGAGGGGGCCTGGCTTCTACTGAGACTCATCTGGAAGACAGAGAGATGGAGATCGAAGGTAAGTGAACACACGTGTTGTGTTGTACTCAGTTATATTCTATATGGTTTAGGGTCACATCTTTACATTCCCAAGAGTTTCATTTGTGGCTTTCTGTTGGCTATAAATGCATAAATGAAATTCTATTTGCTCCCTATAAACATCACTTTAAGCCATAGAGCAAGACCACTGATGTGAAATTGAAAATGCATCAGTGTGGTGAAAGATGGACCGGTGTGGGGACCAGTGGGGCACTCCCCATCGTCCATGTCAGATGTCACTGAACTTCCTGTGTCATGTCGGAAATCTAAGCGCCCATGTTGCTGTTAGGCTAGCATGCCACGAACGTCAACGACAACGACCTGCTCCGAAGTGGGGTTTTATAGATTTCTGTGTCTCTGATTCCCGTGGCTATATTTAAAACCACTGCTGCATGTGTTGGAACTTTATTAGTCTTTAATTTTTCACCACGCTGAGAATGATGCTAACACTGACACTTGGAAAATGTAGTCAGTTGTTGTTTGAAATAACTGCTGTTAGGCCAGATCTTTGTTATATTCTTGACATGAAATGCGTCCGACATTATTTTTTACTTGATGTGGGAAGCACAAATGTTATTTTAATGTAATTTACCTGGGGGGTGAATAAAGTGAATCTCATTATTACTCCACCGCTTATTGACTTATAGGCAAGTGATAGACAATAAACTCGGACATCAGGCCACATTTCAAGTTAAAACAACACAACTGATTACTCATTAGCTACCAAAAGCTACGTCTAAGCAGCTAACATGAGCATTCAACTAATGCCTACCTTAAAAACTAATTTGCTAGCTATGCCTTTCCTGTTGTAATGTCTAACAACATTAAACAGTATATTAGCTTAGGATGTGGTTGAATGGGGGTCGGCCTATGTTCCCACATGCCAACCCGGCTCTCCAGAGGTATTGATGCACCGCAAACTATGGTTTTGCGTCCAGTTGCTGCGCTTCACTCGACTAATCTGACCGGAAGCTAGTCGATGTGAGGCCTCTGTGCTACTTAGTTTAGTTTGTTTATTTAAAATGACAATGTGCACTTACATAGTACGTAGTCCATTGCTACTGGATAACAGGTTGGCTACCAAATTGGGAGAAAGGGGGAAAAAATCTGATACAAATTTATGAAAAAGAAAATGTGGGAACATAGGCACGCTCCCGTTGAATGCTAACATTAGCACTTAACTGTTGAGAAAGTTATTGTAGTTTATTAGCTTTGATGCACCACAAAAACATTTCTTCTTTCAAACATACAAAACTCCCCTAAATATTAATGATTTGCATTATGACCTTGAGACAGAGCTACATAAACCTTTGCTGAATAAACTACGTGAAAAGCTACCAAGCTAATAAACTTGCTATGGGACAAATTAGCTTGCTAACGTTTTACTTTGAGACACTTAGCAAGCGTGCTACCTGTTAGAGGCTGTTAAATAGTTCTTTATTTTATCTGAATAATGCCTGGCTAATTCATTACCTCTTCAAATTAAAACCTTTTTATTTTTTTTTAGACTCTGTACGAATAAAGGCTACGGGCAAGTTTTTAGCTTAACGTTCCTCAAACAAACGCCATATGGGTGCAAATGTGAGGAACTTTTTCCTGAATATCCTACTTATGATTAATACACATTTGGTGGGTTAGAGAGAAGCCATGAATCCTAGGACTGAATCGAGATAAACTGTGGTTAAGAAAGCTTTTTTTGTAAAGAAAGACCATGTCAATTAGCATACAGCATGGCCTATGTATGCTTTGATGACACAATGAAGCTCCATGGTTCATGGAAATTAACAGTATCAGGGGTTTGGCCCTCAGGGAAAGAATAAGTAGGATATAAGTCGTTGTTGATTTTGGTCTTTCTTCAGATTTGTTGACGGTAAGAAAAACCCACAATTTATGATTTCCAAACATATCATTTAAGGAAAGTTTAGACACTCCAGCCCGGTTCTGTGGTGACAACATAGTGAAAATAAACAGACAACAAAATTACCATCTAAGCTACAGCACAATCCTGGGAGTGGGAGGAGGGGGGAGGGGGTCTGTGGACACCATGAATATCTAAATACAGTACATCGTATGATCTAATTGACTACACTTTATG